TGGACTGGTATCAGTTTAACTTGGGATTTATTCCACCTGTTTCTTATTTTCACGTTTAGCCACTTGAGCCTGTTTAAAGAGAGGGAAGAATTTTTCCACATTTACGGATGAGTTTCACAGCTATTTTTCAAAACACAAATATCCACCGCTGTGGATATGGAGATAGTTTAAAACAGTTTATGCCTCAGGATTTCCTATCTAAACAACAGTGGCCATGATTTGGAAAGGAAAAGTGAAAACAATTTCTCAAATCTGATTATAAAAAGCCCTCTTTTTCTCTATAAAAATGCAAAGAACCCTACTGAATTATTTCCCATTCAGCACATCTCTTTCTACATAATAAACGCAATTGCCGTGCAGCTTCATTCTTAGCCTGTGGACACTGTCAGAAGCTAGAAATTCGCATTGTCTCTGTCTCAGTATTCTCATCTCTACAGGACCCCAGAGCTATTGTGTTTTTCTAGGTGTGCAGCCTGTGTTTCAGACAGCACGAGTGCCCTGATGGGCCTTTGGAGCTGCCGGTCCATAGAAGGTTCTGTAGGTTTTGGATCGCAAGGGATCCAAGCAAATGGGAGTGGGACCTCTCTGACGTGTAACATTAATCAGCAGAGGACTGATTCCATCTCAGGAAGAAATTCCTGTATCAGCAAGTTACGGCAGTATTATGGTATGAGCAGAAACTACAGCCTAGCTCCTCTAGAAAACCCTTTCAGTAAGGATTGTAACCCAAAAGTACTTCTGGAACACAGCACGGTGTAGAGGAGCTCTAGCACAGCGGGATTTGACGGCATAGAGTAATAATGACCTTATGCAAGCTGACTAATGACACCCTTTTTGTCTTTGAAAATGTATTTTTAATCCTGCCGTTGACAGCTACGGGTGAAAAAGCTGCCCCAAATAAAACAGAAGTAGGTATTTCTTTATTTGGAAAGAATCAAAGATAAAAGTACAGCGATGGAGTCTTTGAAGTTCCCTGTGAAACATCTGTGCTCCACGAAGTTTTGAAAGTAGCACATGGTAAACAGCAGTGCTGCCTCTTACAGTTCTGCACTGTCCCGGCTCAGCACAGATCTCGCCTGTTGGGCATCTGACAGCAGGCTTTGCAGTTTAACAGCGGGTATTGGAGCTCGTGGTAAATGTGATTGAAACTAAATGGGGAAAAGCCAAACGAGATGTGTGCTCCTCCATTCCTTACTCTCCTTGTTCACTCATCCCGGTCAGTTTGAAGGGAGCTCCGAAGTCTTACCCATTCTGGGTCCCTCAGTGTCCCCAAGGCATAGTAACATTCAACAGCACGTGCCTCTGCAATTGGATTGAACTTCTCCTTTCTACCGTGTGACACCCGATCTGCTTTTGTGTGCTCAAAATAACAGTAGCTAGGAGCTGTTGGTTGGTTATGACTGCTTTTATAACTGATTAAAGTTTGGAGTATGTTTGCTTCACACAGTTATCATAACAAAAGAAATCCAGTGGCTATAATCTGTAAGAAGTAAACAGTATGTGCACGCTCAGAAAAGACAAACCACAAGAAGCAGCAGCACAGACAGCATGTGGCCCTGTTGAAATGCACAACATGAACAGTATGAAATCCAGTTAGGAAGGTGGAGATCATAATCATCACATTAGCAATTTCCAGAGTATGTGAACTCAAGACTTCAGCATTTCCTTCCTAGACTGAACGATACTGAACTGTTAGATTTATCTCGCTGCCTTGGAGCAGCACAGACAGCATGTGGCCCTGTTGAAATGCACAACATGAACAGTATGAAATCCAGTTAGGAAGGTGGAGATCATAATCATCACATTAGCAATTTCCAGAGTATGTGAACTCAAGACCTTCAGCATTTCCTTCCTAGACTGAACGATGCTGAACTGTTAGAGTTATCTCACTGCCTTGGTTTCTGATAATGTGATTGTGGTGAGAGGTCAATAGCACAAAGCTGGAGCGTGAGCAATGGGCTTTCTGATAATGTGATTGTGGTGAGAGGTCAACAGAGAGCACAAAGCTGGAGCATGAGCAATGAGTGTTTCAGCGGAGCGGTCACTACCCCTCTGCAGCAGGGTGCAAGCTGCAGCAAAGTGTTACCACTTACAGGGACTGTGCCCTAAGCAGTGTCTGCTGCTTTTGTTCGGCCACCGAAGAGTTAAGATTCAGTTGTGAAAGGGAAAATATCAAGGGAATTTCTGTTGGAAATGTACGCATGCAAGAAAAGCATGATTGCAGGCTTTTCCACGCGCTGCTCATCTAACATGGGTTATCCCACACAGGGCTTCTTGGCATGAGAGAAGTTCGACTGATACGTCTTTAGTATCTGGGGTTGTATTTCTCTTTGGGTATCATTGCTGCACGTGGTCAGATCACAGAATCCCAGAATGTGAGGAGTTGGAAGGGACCTGGAAAGCTCCCCCAGTGCAACCCCTCCAGAGCAGGATCACCAGAGCAGTCACACAGGAACACGGCCAGGGCTTTGGGTGTCTGCACACAAGGAGACTCCACAACCTCTCTGGGCAGCCTGGGCCATGCTCCAGAACCCTCACACTCACAAAGTTTGGCCTCATCTTCAGCTTGAGCCTCCTGTGCTCCAGCTTGGGACCATTGCCCCTTGTCCTGGCATTGGCCATCCCAGAGCAGAGCCTGGCTCCTTCCTCCTGACACTGCCCTTTCCCAATGGATCCCCAGGAATGAGGGCACCCCTCAGTCTCCTCTGCTCCAAGCTCAAGAGCCCCAGCTCCCTCAGCCGCTCCTCAGCAGGAGATGCTCCACTCCCTCCAGCATCTTTGTGGCCCTGCAGGACTCTTTCAAGCAGTTCCTGTCCTTCTTGAACTGTACTTTTCCAATAGTACTTAATTAAGCTCACCTTAGGATTACATTTCTGTCTTTTCCAGGGATGCAATTAAAGTCTAATGAAACAATAATTTAAACTGTTAAATAGAGTTTTAAAAAGCTCTAATCCCCTCCAAGAAGTTTTCCAGCCCGGTTAATGACTGCTAGCTGAAACGTTACGTTTTTAATGAGTTTATCCAAAGAAACTTAGAGAAGGTGCCTGACGCCTTAGTACAGAAATGTACTGCAGCTGAATTTGTTTTCACGGTTTAAACAACTGCACTTGTCACTTCTACATAAAATGTTTTCATTCTTTAAGAAGTAGTTTTGGTAACAACTTGTATCAATTAAACGTGTAGAAGTCGTGTTCTCTTTAAGCAACAAGTAGACAAAAACATTCGTTCTTTTGAACTTCTAAAACGTCTCTCATGCTCATCACATACGATAGCATTTTGATAATAAGGATTTTTCACAACTGCTGTGACTTTGTGAAACATCAGATGCTGACTGAACTTCCTAAAAGAAACTCACGACTTCAAGAACAGTTGAATTCTGCCATGACATTGGGAATGGCTTGACAGCGATGTCAAGGCGTAAAAACAGGGACAACAAATAGGGCAGTAATAAGGACAAAAACGAGGGTGTATAGAGGAAATAAGGCTTTGTCTTGGAGTAGGATGTTTAAGTGTTTCCAGTCGAGGTTTGTCATGCCTTGCGGCATTCATAAAATCCCAGATTTTTGCAATTTGTAGTTCTGCTCGTTATTCTCTCCCCTTTCTATGTGCTGCCAATTTCTAGTCACTTTGTAAATGGAAAAATGAGCTATGTTCTAAAATTTAGTATTTTAATAGTGAAACTAAGTAAATGCAACATTTTAATTTAGATTTTGAATTAAAAAAACATGAAGATCAGGCTTCCAGCTCATACGAAGAGCGACAGAACCTATGTGGATGTTGTTAGCTTATGGCAAGTAAGGACCTGGCCAAAGGAGGTTCAAGTTTGGGTTGATACAGAAGCCAGTAGGGACCAGGTGGCTGGTTACCATATCATTATCATATCATATCATATCTAGTCATGATATTACCATATCACTTCATTCCCAGCTTTGAAACTTGGGAATGCAAAAGCCATCTGTAAAACTGCACAGGTAGCAGCACCATTCAGAGAGCTCTGGTGCTGGTGTGGGAAACCAGGCAGACTTGGGAGGGCCTGGAGCACAGCTGAGGTCCCCAGCTCGTGCTGTTTCCGATCACGCTTTAATTCTCTCTCACTCCACCCATTTCCAGCCAGGTTCTGGCTCCAGAATTAGTTCTGGGCAGGAAAAAAGGACAAAGTAAAGACTGAGAGTCCTTCATCGTATGACAAATTATATGACAATGACTGTTGTGGCCCTGCAAATGACACTGACTTGTTACCGATCAGTTGGGATCAACTAACAGGGAACTGCATTCAAGGTTTAAAACTTGGTGGTGAAATACTAAGTCTGTATTTTTTCATGACCGTGTTTTCTATGCCTGCAGGTGCCCCATGCAGCAGACCAATCTACAGATGATCTTTTAAGCTCTAAGTAGCATATCCCCACTGCAAGAGTTGTTTTGATGATAAGTCATATCTTTTGTAGCCAAAAATGTTGAAATAATACCAACCAGTGTACTTTAAAGCTGCTTAGGTAACCAGAATGTACTACAAAGCCAGCCAAGACAATGTGGGTGAGCTTTCAGCCATCAGCAGAGCTGGCATAAGGCAGAGTACCTCGAGGCATAACATTTGGTTTCTTGTTTGTCAGTGTTGGACTGTTTGCTACCACTTTCCTTTGCCTTTAGCCAGAAGAACAAGCAGAAACTGCTGTTTCTAAGCAAATTAAATAAAACAGGTTTATCTCTGTGGTAAATAATAAGTTACCCATGGTTTTTCTTACCTGTATCTCAAAGCTTCTCTTTGTTGCTGCACTCCCGAGGTTCCCGAGCGTACTGTGCCCATCCTTGCTATTCCTTGGCTGCTGCTGCACAGCCAGCCCCAGCTGCAGGCTTCCCACACTCCTCTGCTGAGCCAGGGCATCTTCTGCTTTGTTTTATTGAATAAAGTGTAAATGTGACTCAGCATGCAGGCTCTTTAGGGCTACATCAGCTAAATGGAGACGCTCACAATAATGCTTTATTGTTACCAGTGACTGGAGCCGCAAGAAGCGCAGTACTCCTGGATGGTTGAAATCCTGAAGAGCAGCATCAGTTGAGCAGCACAGCAGGAGCCATGTCTCTGCCTTTCCGAAAAGAGCTGGAGAAATACAAGAATATCAATGAAGATGAGATACTGAGCAAACTCTCAGAGGATGAACTGAAACAGCTAGAGCATGTTCTTGATGACCTGGATCCTGAGGTTAGTGATGGGAACTGGAGGGGAGGCATAGTTCAGAAGCTGCCTATTATAAATGCCACGCACTGCAGCAGTTTGTATTTGTATTGTGTTACAGCAGAGGCAGCGTACCCTGAAGGATGAGCAGCTCAGCTAGGGACATTTTGGGTTTATTCCTGCTGTGCTGCGCTTACTCGTACAAGCGTTGCCCTTTCTCTGTCCCTTGTCTATTTACACAGCAGCTTGTCTGCAGTCTAAATCTTTAATCATATTTGTGCACTGCAGAGTGATGAGAAGCTTTTTATGGGAAGCTTTTTATGGCTGCTATTTCTGAGCACACCAATAAACAAACAAACATAATGTGTCTGTGAAGATCAGATCTTTTGAACTTCGGAAATCTGTTGACTGTGTCACTCAGCACTGGTATTTTTAGCTGCAGAGAGTATTTTTAGGCATGATTAAGACATTTAAGCTACATAACTGTCATTTTCTGGAAAGCAAGGATAATTTGGATATTTGAAAATGCTCCCACAAAGAATTGAAAGATCTCAGGCCTAGGAACCGCTCGGTCCTACAGCAACGAGGTTACAGTCACAAGTGTCCTGGTTGGGAATTCTGGCTGTACCTGCCCCAGAAGCTTCCAGATGGATGCAGGAGTTTGAAAACTGGCAGATAAAATGAATTCCCTCTGGAGACAACATCAATTTGAAAAATCACAGTAAATGAAAGTTTCTGGTATTACAGCACAGATTTATCTGGAAATGAATGGTGGGCTTTCCTGTTCCCTCCCTCCGTGCTGCCACCTCCCTCGCTACTCCCACTTCTGTGGTGGATTTTCTGGTGTTTTCAATTATCTGGCATCTCAAATGGAGACACAGAACATTTAAAAAACAACAACAACAAAACCACAAAAAAAACCAACCAAAACCCAAACCAAGCTCCATGCATTTGTAGTCAAGCTGCATCTGTGCAGTAAATCTGTAGCACTCAGCACGTTTGTGCACGCACAGATGAAGTGTGAAGTGACCCGAGTTCACTGGATGTGCTCAGGGTTCGTGGATATTTGCCATGGATCAGATCCACTGTGCGTGTTCTGGCCAACCAGGAGGTGTTTCTGCAGTGCTCGGGGGCATCTCCACCATCTCCACTGCACGTGCCCTGCAAGGTCTGCGTCCCTGTGTTCCTGTCTGGGGTTTCCTGGACTGAAATGTGAGAGCTTTATGTGTCTTCCTATATTATAGGATGGAGATGCAATCATATGGTCACACAGCTATGTGCTTGGAGTGCTGCTTCATCTGCTTGCTTCCTGCGTACTCTAAATAGCTCAAGTCCACATCATTCACCAGTTGCTTTCTGCGTGTGCCGTTCATTGCTGAAGTCCAATGGACGTCTGCATTAGAAGAAAGGAATTTTTGAAGAAATTAAGAGAGAGAGAAAAATGGGGAGGAAGAAATAAATGAAGATAAGAAAGTCTATAGAAAACTTATTCTGGTCTATTTGGAACAGGCTGCCCAGAGAGGTTGTGGAGTCTCCTTGTCTGCAGACACCCAAAGCCCTGGCCGTGTTCCTGTGTGACTGCTCTGGTGATCCTGCTCTGGCAGGGGTTGCACTGGGGGAGCTTTCCAGGTCCCTTCCAACTCCTCATATTCTGTGATTCTGTGATTTACCTGGACTGCAAACTCTGTGGTTAGAATATGTGTAACACAAAGGGCTCTGATCTTGCTCAGTTCTTTGGTGCTGTGACTGTAAATATGGTTAATAAAAATATCAGTAAGTGGTACAGTCAAGAAGCCTGGAAGATGTACTGGTTTTAGTGGTTGCATTTAGGAAATGTGTGTTACTACTGTCACCAAAGAGTGTTATGTGGAATAACATGCAAAGACTGGTTTCACTTAAAAAACATGAAGACTGAAATGAGATTTGGGACAGTCTGTGAAATGAACTCATCTCCTTTACGTGCCTCCTTGTCTCCCACAGAACGCCTTGCTTCCAGCAGGATTTCGGCAAAAGGACCAGACCACTAAACCCGCTACGGGCCCTTTCGACAGAGAGCGCCTGCTCTCGTACTTGGAGAAGCAAGCCCTTGAGCACAAAGACAGAGAAGACTTTGTACCATTTACAGGGGAAAAGAAAGGTACCGTGGGTCTTGGTGTCGGTGTTGAGTAACGCGCTGCCGGAGCACAGGCACCCACCCCTGCCTGGCCTTTCTGGGGAGTGTGCTGGGACAAGAGAGGTGCAGGGTGGAGCACCCCGTTACTGTGCGGGGTGAAGCTCAGGAGTCAGATCTAGAGCTGTTGGAGCAGGAGATGAAGCAATGCCTTGCTGCTCTGGAGTTCTAATGGCACAGTTAATCGGGCCCGTTGGTGGGTACAGGGACACATGAGCACCAGTCCAGCGAAGGGCTCTATCAGCAGCTCCCAGATCAGCAAATACCTCTACTTGCAGTCAAGGGTGGACAGGGGTGGCCTCGCTAACCTTGCTGGGACCATTCCCATGTAAAGCATTGGGCCCACACAAGGGTGCTGTGGTGGGGGAGGTGTTTAGGAGGAAACGTATTAAATGCCTTTCTAAGTACGTATTGCCTGCAGTTGCTGTAAGTAATAGCTCAGGGAATACACTTAGAAAAAATAAGTCTTTTTCCACTTGTTTACTAGCACATCTGGCAATGCTATTCATGCAGACAGCTTCTCTGCTTCCCTTTGTCCTCCAGCTACAGGGAAAAAAGGGGAAAACAGGAAAACCTAATTCTAATCGCTCAAACACTGGTAGGATAACCTTAGGGCAGGGACAGTCATGACTTTAAGTGAGCAATGTTCCTTTAGCACCTTTTCCTCATTTACATACAGTGGATAAAAGTGCCTACCTCAGCCACCTCGTCATTCCAGAAGGAGCTCATTATGTCTGGGTCCAGTTTTGACCATCTGATTCATTGTCATTATTTCAGTGGGATCTGCTTAAGGGAATGCAGGTATTTCGAGGAAGTCACGTGCAACATTTTTTACTTTACGTATCATTATCAGAATCTGAGCCTTATGAAACGTGTCGGTGAGATCTCCATCTGCCAAATGTACTGAAATTTTCCTATGAATTGTATGATAATTCTGGGTGAATCTGGTGACACATGATGAATGCCACCTAAGGGCCTTAAAAAGGTCAGACTCTGGGTCTTATAACCCATGCTTGTAACTGTGGCATCACTTACTTGAACAAACTCGATTGAAGTGCCAGTAACAGAAAGACCGTATTAAAATACTGACTTGATTTTCCTTTATATGAAGATATTTTCTGTGCAAGGAAATCAAACGACCCTGCGAAGACGTTTCCAAGATACATGCCTGGATTTAAAGTCCCTTTAATTAGAGAATAATCAGTGCTCCTCCAAAGCTTAGCAATTAGTTCAGGATAAAAAGAAATATTACATTTCTAAAACGCGTCTTCAGAAGAAACCAAAGGAGAATATCTCTTCAAAAGTTTATGCTTCACCTTCTGCATGCTCATGGTCCCTAAGGTGTATTTACAGATTAGTAAATACTTATA